TAGATGTTACAGCACAGGTCGCCCTCGAATTATAACGCCGAATGAGGACCGGTATTTGGCAGTTACTGCCAAAAGAAACCGACGGAGCACAGCATCAGACCTATCTCGTCAGCTCTCTTCAGCTACCGCTACGACAGTTTCAAGGCAGACCGTGTATAGACGCTTAGGCCACATTGGTCTATATGCTCGTAGGACTGTCAGATGTGTTCCCCTTACCGCAACTCATTGTCGCCTGCGATTAACCTGGAGTAGAGAGCATGCATTGTGGACACCTCAACAGTGGTCTTGTGTGATGTTTTCCGACGAGTCCAGGTTTAGTTTGCAGTCTGATTCTCGCCGGACTTTCATATGGAGAGCGCCAGGTACCCGTTAACACCAAGAGAACTCCATTGAACGACACCGTTACGGTGGTGCAGGATGGCTCGTTTGGGGAGGAATTATTCTTGGTTCCAGAACTGACCTGCATGTTCAGAGTGTAACGATGACAGGCCACATCTATCGGGATGTCATTCTGGAACAACATGTACGTTTGTTTCGGAGCGCCATGGGTGCTGAATTTCTGCTTATGGATGACAACGCCCATCCTCACCGTGCAAACATTGTAGACGAATGCCTTCATTTGGAGGATATCACCCATATGGATTGGCCAGCATACTCACCGGACTTGAATCCAATAGAGCGTGTGTGGGATATTCTTGGCCGACGAATTGCTGCAGGTCAACCCCCTTTCACCTGTTAACCGGAACTTCGGAGGGCATTGCTTGATGAGTGGTGTAATATTCCCCAAGATTAGATTGATAATTTGATACTCAGCATGCGTAGGCATTTTAAGACCTGTATTGCATTGTCCGGGAGACATACTCCGTATTAACCATCATACTAACCATGTTATACTGTTTTTTGTAAATAGGTTCTTTATTAAAATGTGCTCCATGGAGTAAAAATCGCAATTTTTATTAATTATGTCAAACATATAGCATCTTTTTTGCTCTTTACATTTTGTTTAATAGATAGACTTCACAAATAAGTCAAATTTGTTTTGCTTCTGTCTCTTTCCTTGCCTGAACTTCATTATCCTTAATTTATTTACATGAGTGTATTTTCGTGAATCTTAGCTATGTAATACAGAAACTAATAATCGTATTTCCACTGACTGTGAGAAATTAGATGTATATCCACATATTTTTAATTTAAAAATTTCATTAAAATCGGGAGTCGAAAAGTTAATTTTCGAAGTGTTACAAACGGTTTTAAACTGAAGTTCTATCCCTGGTAAATTATTGAGAAATATGTTATAAAATATTGTAAGTAATTTAAAAGTTGTGCACTTTATTATTAAAAATCTTAGACAGTTCATAAATTATTTTTAAAAAAAAGATTTATCCAGTATATAGTTATGAATTGAAAGATCTCTTGAACCTAATAATAGATATTAATGGTATAAAGAAGTACTTTTTTAGGATAATTATCATATCTAAATAGTTTTATAAAGATAAAAACAATAACACAAAAATTTAGTTCTTAAAGTAAATTATATTAATTATAATAGCAATATATTCTAATGTAAAACTAGAAAAGATCTCACAAATTATTTAGAAGGCAGGGAAAAGTAAATTATATATACTCTATGTACAGGTACGATTTAAATATTTATTTAACCCTATAAAAAATATTAATGATATAATGACTCAAATTATGATGCTTATGGTCTAAGTCATGTTAAAAAATTTCAAAATTATGTGATATTTTAATTTATTTAGTTCTTCAAGAAATTTAAGTTGACTATAATTGTCTTATATAAATATACTAACTGGTGTACCAATTCTTCGCACGGGTGAATTTAAAAATTAAACGATACAGATTGAAAGATAAAGAAATTTTTAATGAGTTAATTTTAAGCGAATTGCAAATTAAACAAATAAAAAAGGTTTTTTGCATATCTTAGTTGAGTAAAACAAATCATATTTGTTAGGTTTTAAGTCTGTAGAGAGATCTAATAGCTCAGAAAAAGGATTTTTTTATTTTATTTATAACGCCCCGTAACTCACTTGTGGGTCAATTTTCGAAAACACTTTCCTAAGCTGATCTCTGCTCAGTAAAAGTAACACATTATTATAAATTTTGTGTAATGAACTTTTAAAATAGTGTAAATAATTTATACCTGAATGTGTAATACGTTAATATTACTTTCTGTTGCATTTATTTTATGTTAAAATTGTAAAATTCGCCAATTCCTTACATTATTTGTTGATTCAAAGGAAACAGGACGAAATGTTGATGATAGAGCCAAGTTGGAATCATTTTTGACAACCACGTTGGCAACTTGGTGATTGATTGAACGTTGCAGAAGTCGATGTGCTGTAGCGCCACCTGGTGGCTAGATGCATCAAAGTGATAGCACAAAGACCTTCTCCACAAAAAAATATATACACATTCCAATTTTCATAGTGATCGGTTGAACGGTGTTGATGTTAAGTTAGGTCCATATATATACACAAACATTTATTTTTATATTTATCGATATAGAGATAAATATATTAATTTGAGAGGAGCTACTAGCAATAATTTTGTTATAATTTGTTTTTGCATTTTTAACGGAAAAGCAACATATTGATATAATAATGCTTTTTATTTATACTAAGGATGTACTTGTTTTTGATAAAGATAGTGCGTGTATACCTAAAATTACTTTTTATTCAACATACTAAAAACTCATTTAAATTAACAATAGCCAATTGTTGCAATGAGGTGGCTGCATCATTGCATATTATCAATGATTAATTAAATAGCATTATATATCGTAAAATAGATACTTTTTACTTAAATATTACTAAAGTTCCACTATTTACAAAGCACGTAACTATTTGCATCGTAATTGTTTAGTTAATGAAATTAATGATAAAACAATAATTTAAGAAAAATAGTTGTTGTTAATAAATATATATACTTTGAGATACATTAATTAAAAATAAAGAATATAATTGAAAAAAAATAATTAATGAAAATAGAGATAAAACAAATAATTTAAAAAATGCACAATATATTAGATTATTTAAGTACTAGATATTAAAAAATGTATAAGAGCTATTTTTTATAGAACATAATTGCACTATTAAATTACTTAAAATGTATATTTGCAATAAGTCTTACAATAGTCAAGTTTAAGAACCAAATTATAATAATTTTTATTACATTTAATTATTTATGTCTTTATCATTTAACTTGATAACTATTTGATTATTTTGTGACAGTATTTTGGATTTTGTGATGAGAGAGACACTCAGAAATCATTCTCACACACAAATGATCCATCTCTGGGCTAATATAGTTTATTACCTCTATACAGGTACTCTTCTAGCTACTAAAATTTTACAGATATACATAGATCTATGTTCTATGAATGTTTCCAAACAAGAATATTACATTGAGAGAGATCCCTCCGCGTTGTTTCACTGACTCACTCTACTGTGGTATACGTTCCTTCATCAGAGGGAAAGTGTACAAGTACTCTGTCAGGTGGTGCCATCTAGCAGAAAAAACATGAATAAGTCTTAATATTACCACTGGATACAATTTTAATTTTTACACTTATAAAAAAATTTTTTAATTCTTTTATTTTTATATTTTCTAAACCAGTGTACTCAAACTGTGAGGCATGCCCTCTGGGGGGAGTGACAATCTTACGGGGGGGAGTAAACATTTTGAAAATTCTAAAATAAAAATAGATTATTTAAAAAAAAATATCATTCAACAGTAAACTACATAAAATATCAATTACTTAAAAGTAACAAATACAAAATTTAATACTTATCTGGGTAATTTGTACGGTTTATAATTAAGGTCATATTGTAGTTTTAACGGTAAAGTGCATTATTATTGTACTAAATACATGAGTGGGGGGTGCGATGAAAACTATGACTGAAAATTGGGTCGCTTATATACAGGGTTTGAAAAGCACTGTCTTAAACATATTCTTCTGCTGGTTACTTTTAAAGAATGTGTTTATACCTTCTTTTTTTGTCATTTGCTGTTTTGTGATTTCTATTCATGATGGTTATATAATAAGAAAATTTGATTACTTTTTTGGAAAACATTTTTTTACAAATTAATTAAAAATTAATAATTCTCGTAACAATTTTAAAGCATACATTTGTATTTTTTTATAAAATGATTTTATATGAAATTATCACTAAAAATATAAATTTATTAGACTTTTTAATAAAATATTATTTTTTAAACAAATAATTGACATTTATCTCATAATTGTCATGAAACCAACATCATTACTGTTAATACCAAAAACTATTCAACAATGAAATGAGTCAAATAAAAAGTTACCAGGTACATAAAGAAATCAATTTTTATTTCGATCCTGGTGTAGAACACCCCTAGGAAATGAAAATTATTTGGCACCAAAGTGGCGATATTTTCTCCAATTTGACAGCAATATTAGCTAATTAACTATAAGACACAAAAGTTTTAAGTTCCAATTAAAATATAAAACTAGTATTTTCGTCAAGAGGAAGAAAAAAAATTATGCATATTCCTCATGGAGATTGTTTCGTATTTTTTTTTTTTTTAATCTCAAGTGAAATTATCATAAAAAAAGAGAAAATCTATAACGTTTGCAATATGTTTCACAGTAAATAAGCGATAGACGAAAAAATTCCATTTTTTAAAAAAACTGAACTGCCTTTGTAATTAGAAAGGAGATACCCTGATATTCTTAATAAGATCAGAGAAATTTTTTTCATATATTTTGGTCTTTTCCGCTGCACATATGTTTCTGAAATTCAAATTTTACTTCATCTTATGTCCTTATTGATTTTTAAACATGGCGTCATCTTGGTTTTCGTTGTAACGAAAATTTACCTACTTGTTCAATGTTGTGATAAATTAAAAAGTGTGCGTTTTAAGCAAAGTGGTACTTATTCTCGCATTAAATATGTTTGTAAGGTAAATTATTATATCCGTAAAAGAAACAACGAATTCCATCTCAAAGGCACCAACGAGATTCAAACTCATGACCTCCTGTTTACAAGACAGACGCTTTAACCAGCTAAGCCACGACGCCCCAATTTAATTATTAAGTTAAAGAATTCTTAAATAATTGAACACAGAAAAGCAAATGAAGGGATATGAATGATAGCTATAAAAATAAGCACAGCTAAAAATTCTTCTGTTGAAATGTGTGTTCTTTTCACACTATAAAGCTAATTAACAATACACACGAAGCGAACATTAGATTCGGTACTTTGCATGTTTGGAACATGAGAAAGAATAAACTATTATGACTGATTGTGATTGGTTGAAGTAATAACAGGGAATGGTTTTGAATTAAATTTATTGTTCAATAATTTTCCGCTCAAAAGCTATACGAGGGTTTCTGGTGACGGACCTCCATAAATTTGAACCACCCAATCGATGAGACCCCATTCTCCAAACTTCACCACACCAACGTGAGAACTATGATATTGGTTTCACACGAGGCAACTTCGTGCCAGTCAACTCGTTTTCTGCGTTTTCTCGTTTACTTTTATGCGGTATTGTTAATGCTCCTTTGTATTTGGCGGAAACATTAACCTGTTGCTGTGCTCACAAATAAGTATTATCTTTCTAGTTTTATTACACATCGATTTTAACTCTATACCAGTAATTCTGCAGGTTATTAAATTTTATCGTTATATATTAATAGTATTATGTATTTATTTGTAATAATTGCACTTCTCTTAATATTTCTTCCTTTCCCTATGTCCCAGTGTATAGGCAAATTACAGGGGAAGGTTGATAAGTTAAAAAACTTTGTTTAAACCTGCAATCTTGGTTTCTAAGGCTGAGAGTTTGCTATTGTACTACTGTGGCTAATTTTTCTTACTGTCTTGACTGGTTAAACTTAGGATAATAACTCTTTGTATATATTTGTGGATTATTTATATATATATGGGACGGCGTCTAGGGGAAGGTTCAAATTTAATGATCACAGAGAGTTAAAATAACCTAATTTATTAAAACACAACCAAAACATTTAACTATTTACAAGGGGTTTAAAATAATTAACTCAAGAGAATTTTTACTACCGAGATAGCACCATACTAAATCAGAAACACGCCTTCACTCTCAAAAAACGGAGAGACAGATTCCATCCGACCTACCTTCATGCAATCTTTCGTGCAACTCCTAGTTTTTTCTGCCACATCATAGACATATGACATAACTGTATCGCAAAGCGAAGTTTCACGTGGTTTCCATTAGTGGCGCCAACTCTTACAATTCAAATAAGAATCAAAAGAAATAATAAAAACTTGCATCCTTTTCCTACACACACACACACACACACACACACACACACACACACACACCACACACACACACACACACACACATATATATATATATATATATATATATATATGAAATATCTCAACGACCCAGTAACAACAACTTTGGAATTCAAGAGCTTTATTCAAATCATGGAGTTTCCTTCGTAGGGAGAACACTGGAAGAACGTGTTACAAAGCTTCCTAACACAGGCATAAGAGTCCGACTTAACTAACTAAAATTAGAATTTACGGGTCTACAGCGCTAGCGCTTTTACCCAGTGTGAGAAGAATAGAAAATCCATGTAAGAAAAATAAAAAATCAAGTAACCCCGGCGTGGGGGGCAGAGGAATTGGCTCCGAGGTGGCCGCGCAGGGCGGACGAACCGGGGAGAAATCGGGAGGAAGCGCAAGGAAGGGTGTCCGACTTGCTAAATTAAATTCTTGTCGGGTTTACAGCGCGAAGCGCTTTTACCCAGTTTAAAGGGGAAAAGAAAAACCATGAGAGAAGTAGTAAATCACGGAGCCCCCCGTGGGGGCAGAGGAATTGTCACCCAGGTGTCCGCGCTAGGCAGACGAACAAGGGAAAAATCTGGAGGAAGCGCAGGGAAGGAAAACGATCGCCTAACTAACAAAAGGAACAATCAATATGAGCGGGCGGGTAGCGAGTCCACTACAGAGTCAGTTCGGACGCAAAAGAGCAGATGGTGTTGTAATGCAAAATTAAATGTGAAATGGAGAAATTAAATGTACAAGTAAAAAGACTACAAAAAGAAAAAAAAAGAACTTGAGAGTATAAGAATTAAAAATTTAAATTTTGGATTGCAGTAAGGTCAGCATTTGTCCCCACTGCGTCATCATCTGGGCCATTTGAGCCAATAGACTTGATGAGTCGATTGAGTCGTGTTGGGTATTCTTTTTAACTGCACCGGAGTACAGTTGTTGTGGTGGTGTGGTGTTCTGGGCGCGTGCGCCGGCCTTCACCTGTCGGACTTGTGGTTTCTGTTGCTTACTTTTGTTGTTCGCGTTGTTGATTGGGTTATTGGGGCATCCTGAGTAATTTGCAGGGTGAGAACCGCTGCAATTTGCACATTTAGCTGGGGTTTTTAATGTTTTTGTGCATTCAGAGGTGAGGTGACCCCCTGAGCATTTAACACATCTAGGTGCTCTAGTGCAAAACCTAGAGTGGTGGTAGAACTCCTGGCATCATAGCACTGAGGAGCATGTTTGAAGGGTTTTTAGGCTCGGTTTAACCTAAACGAGCCTATATGAGTAATATTGAATATGCTGTGTTAACAGGCACTTGGGGAGGGTTACCATAAAAGTGGCATGTTTGTCTGGGTGTGTCCGACTTTGGGGGACAAAGATATTTAAATAGGGAAAGTAGGAAGAGGTAGCGAACAGGCAAATTCCCCCAATCCCGTGATTTATGGGGTTTTCTAAGATCCTACTGGTTCTGTGCTTCTAGACAGAGCGTTACTAAGTCTATGGTGAAAGTTTAGTGTCTGGAGGGAAAAGGATGACGAAAATGGCATTCATCTTGAATCATTAAGTTTTACATTAAATGTTACGAAAATAAATATCTATTTTTATATTACATATATATATATATATATATATATATATATACAGTTAACAATAATGATATCTGCTTTGGAAAAGAAATATAAAATGACTGCGAAAAATTTATTAAAGATATTGATATACAAATTTATCTACCTAAAAGGAAATTTTTTTTTTCGAGAAACATTGCTTCATTAATAAAATTGCAGTACATATTTTAAAACTGTAATGTTCGTATTTAGCGATAGTGTTTAGTTTTTGGTCAATATTTCATTTTAAGTCAGTTTTGACCAAACTTCTAACATTTTTTAAAGATTTTTCTGCGTTGCTAAACCGTACACAAGATCATATGTGTATTCAATAACTTAACAGTGATGCAACAGCACATGAGGGCTAAGGCCTACTATGCCCCTCTCAGTATACGTGACCTTGAGCCCTGAAGTGCATGAGTAGATTTTCCAGGTCAGGTGGTCAGTCTGGCGTGAGCCCCCTCCCCCCCTAGTGTTAAGTCTCCAAGCAAGCTTGGTACTCATTTATCGACCGGGTATTCAGTAACTATTGTATGATATACATTTATATTATATTAACCTATACATGTATAGTAAATAATTTCGTTAAAAATTTCCTAATAGTTCTGGATGTAACTAACTAGAGATAACGATTATTTTAATATTCATTTCAAATAAGAGTAACAATGGGAGGTGCAACATATTAAATGGAACTGAATTTAGTGAATTCTGGTGCTGGACAGCTTAGAAATATTTGACAACTATCCCATGACCCGTCTTGGTCAATTTACTGTAATTCATCTAGTTCCGGAGTTGAACCTTTTTCAAATGTAGATCTTGTGAATGTATATATGTTCTTGTAAATGTTTTAGTAATGTTCTTGTAAATGTTAACGAGCAAGTTTTTCATTAAATCAAAACTTCATAATGTGGAACCCTCAAGTAAAAATACATTTCCATTAAACACGAAACAATCAACATATTCGTCTGATTATATAACAGCATACATACGAAATTTATGAAAACATGATTTTACGTCATTTCGAAAGTTTTCATATGTGTTCTGTGTGTTCACATGCAAACATAAGTTTCTAAGACTTTTAAATTTCAAAAATTTCTCTTAACTGTACACATGATTTCTTAAACAGCAAAAATAAAACTGTTTTTATGTTTTTAAACATGATATTTAGGTATTTTTATGTATTTAACCAGCTTCTTGCAACGACAAATGATATTACACATCTGAATTTTTGTATGTACAATTCATTCAGAAACTTTTGAATATTTAAGTTTAAAAACTTGTCTATACAGTTAAGTAACATTTATATTTATACTAAAGTGATATTTTTTTTAAAAAAATTAGTTTTTTTTTAAAAACAGACTTATTTTTCAACAATGAATTTATTCAAAGTTGTTTGTTTTTTAACACATGTGCTCTTAGCTAAATGTTTTTTTGTTGTAATATTTTCAAAATATCACTTCAGTATCCACAAGAATGCATAAGGAATATATAATGTAAATTTGCAGCTTTTTTTTTCACATACAGTAAACTTAGAAAAATTTTATTTTTTAAAAAAGTAATTTTAAAATTATAAATTATGAAAATAGTAGTTTTGAAAAAAAAAACATACCTTGTGTAAATAAGCATTCTTTAAATACTTAGAAATAGTAATTTAAAACACATGGAAACATGTTGAAACTCGAAATTCCGCCACCAAACTAATACAGTTAATCGAACAGTCAACTGTTATCTAAAGTTAATTGCGTTTGAATAAACAAAAAGAAGGCTTTGCAATTGTTTCAGGATATTTAAAAGGCAAATATCTGTCAAAAGGGGGCGTGGCCAACCAGTTGATAATTTTTTAAAAGTCATTTTGACATAGTTCTAATTGAAAATATGGCATAAATGTTATATCCCTAGAAAGGTAATGAAATACAGATTTCAGAAATATCAAAAACTCAAAATCGATCATTCCATGATTTTTACCCTACTGACCTCCCTTAAAAAAAAAGGACGCAGCATACATTTTTATGCATAACTTGAAATAAAACTTTAAGGAAACAGCATACATTTCGTTGAAAAAACTCATAATTTATTCTTTAACACAGACTTCTGAAATGCTGAAGAGAATTTAGATTTTTAGACCCATCAAAATTTATAAATTATGCTCGAATTTTTCAAAACTT